AAAAAAAAAAAAAAAAAAACAGGAAGGAAGGAAGGAAGGAAGGAAGGAAGGAAGGAAGGAAGGAAGGAAGGAAGGAAGCTCATTCTTGTCTCTTTTGTTACTAAATCTCACCCAGTAGGAATGGCAATCTGCTTGGAGGGTAGGCGATCTCATCAGTTCACTTTTGAATCTAGGTTTCTCATAGATTAGCTGATCTCTATGGTAGAGCTAGCCTAGTTTAAGCAAGACAGATTCCCAATAATGTTCTGCCAACTGTTCACTTTAAGCTTCTAACTCACCATGAACTGAAATGATGTGTGAGCATGTATTGGAAATATAAAGAGCATTTTATCAGACTGCAAGTCAAATTTTAACTCCTGTTTTCAAATTTCATCTTTAAATAAAGCTTGTTGATAGCTATCAAGGTTTCTGTATGTACCATTTGATATCATATGCTGTTTATACAGAAAGCATCGCACTTCCTTGAGACCTGCACCTAAAACCAAAATAGCTCATAATACAGCCTCTAAGTCATCATTTATTGATTTATAGAGCACCCATCACATGATTAAGGTGCTTTACAATACAGTAAACATCACAACAAAACTCACATAGTTAAATACAGTCAACAAATTACAGAACTAAAAAAAAAAAAAACTGGAATGAAGCAACATTATGTCAAACTTCAAAAATGTTGAGAAGTGGCAGTACAAAAAGAAGGTAATTCCACCAACTAGAGACCAGACAAAGATACACAGGCACCAAGGCCCAAAGTGGGCAGGCTTGCAGAGAGTGAATGAGCATATAAATAAAACTTCACAACTGGGAACAAAGGCCATTAAATGATACTATGAAACCCAGGTGATCAGAGAACTAATAGAAAAACCAAACGTTCAAGTGTTACCTTCTAATGACAAAGAAATCACTGTGTGGATTTTAAACTCTTAAGGACATAAAGCCACCAATATCTCATTACAAACAGACTGAAATTTGCAAGCCTCTACAAGAACTTGGAATAAAATAAGTAACAGCCAACAGATCTATAATCTAAAGAACTTTGTAGATGTAGCTGAAGGCTGACATAGGTGGCAAAGGTTTGGGGTAAGGATGGAACTTTTTCTAAAACAGAATTGCCTCACACTAATGATGCATTAGTGGGACAAAAGCCACCTGAGTGTGAGTTTTAAATCAAATGTAGAGGCATTTAAATCCACACCGTCAGATGAATACTAGAAAAGGCACAGATGACATCTCTGATAGGAAAGTAAGCCCTAACATTTAGGCTTCTGTTTCATATGTAGAAGATGGTCGGGGCACCATGAGGGGAAAGAGCTTCAGGATAAAGGCAGTCACTCTTAGCTCTCCAGCAGTCCTTGATCTAGTACAAAGAACCACACAGTTATCCCAAAATAAGTACATTACCGTGGCACTTGTAAGTTCAGAAATAGCTGTCCCTGAGTTACTAGGTCATTTACTACTTGCAGAGCAGTCAAACCCTGGATTTTAATTCAACTGTCAGCTAGAATCATAGCAATAGGAGAGCAAAATTTCCACACTGCCAAAGCAACCACTGTGAGGACGATTTCTGAATGGAGAGTGAAGAGGATTGCATTCCCAGGCCCTTGGAGGAGGACAAAAGCACTGTAGGATAACTTCTAGTCTGCGGGAGAAAGGGTGTCTAAAAGTTCTCAATGAGAACTGGGCTCCAGTGAAATCCAATTAAGGTGTTCACAGCTGCTACACACTTAAGGGTTTTGACAATGTTTATGATAGATTTTACAATGCTCCCGAGAAAACTTTGATTTAAAAATGGTGCTGTATCATGACTACATCCTAGTCCATTTCCACTACTTTAAAAAAAGACTTAAGAGATTGAAAGGTCTGGCTTTGACAGCAAAACTTTTATTCCCTCTTCTGATAAAAGACTTAGCCAAACCCCATGGGGCAGAGGCCCACCTATTCTCACAATCAAACACCATCAAGTAACAGGTACAGTCTTATGCTCTAGCTCTTATATGGCAAACATTACTTTCCATTCTTAGCTAAAACCAGACAGGAGCTCAGGCCTGTCTTTAACACCGAACATACTACTATTATCCATCACTGAAGTTGTTTTAGAAACTGTCTAGAAAACATACTTATGCTCAAACAAAAATCTAAGTGCACTATGTCGGTGACAAAATCTGTATGTCAGTTAGCAAAGACTCACCCCTATAATGGTTTTAGATTCAGATAAAGAATCTAGACAGAACCTAATACATATACTGCCATGGCCATGAGATTTTCAAGTATTAAGTTTGTTTGCATAAGGAATCAACCTGAGATTTTTCTAAACTGCACTTCTCTGGTATTTAGTACTATAGCCTTCATTTAATACAATAAAAGCCAACACCTTGACAATTATTGGAAAAAAATTATATTTTGGAAGAACTCACTACATAAGGTGACAAAAATTCCAAAATCAAATTACATGAAAATATACATCGCAATTTCTTTGTACAATAGGTGAGGAAAATCTGCAGTAAAGAAGAAATAAAGAAATATGAAGGATTAAGGATAAGGGTAAGAGGACAAATAGCATTTTTAATAGCAATCCCAGATGTAGAAAGCCTGTAGTTGTGCATGCTTTATTCATCCAACCTTAAGATTAGGCAACTTAAAGGCAAAAAATAAAACCAAATCTGGATTTTTGCATTGTTTGGAATAAATTTCGCTAAGTTGAACTTAGTTAGAACAGACCTTTTTTTTTTCTTTTTTCTTTTAAAGTTCTCAGGAGATAATGACTAGGATCAAGAGCTCTCAACAGCCAGAAAATGTTATTGCTACATCCAATCCAAGAGATGGGTGAATCCAAGTATAAAAGGACAAAGCACCTAGTGATGACCCCACTGAGGTCATCGTGAAAAATCAAGTAATTTACTAGTATTTCAGTATTTTAACTAAGTGATTTGAGAACTTTCTGGCAGATAGAAGAGATAAAAGGAAAGGAAGTGTGGCAAAACAAAGAAAATACAAAAGATTAGTAAATGGAAAGAGTGTAATGAAGACTCAATGGTTTAAAGGAAATTATATGGAAACTTTTAATCCTTATTGGTTTTCACCTGACATGCTTTAAGGAATCTTTTTGAACTGATAAGAAACGATGAATAGGAAAAGAAAACCTGCTAAAGTCTTTTAGAATTTACACGATTCTTATTCTACTACAAGAAAGCATTATTTGGTACAAGGTGTGTTTGTGGATGTACATGAACAGTATATATATTATCCGGATCATGTTGTGCTATGTACAGGTCTTTACAATTCTTCCTGAAGGTTAAAACAGTTCATTAGAATTCAAAATGCGTAATCATCTGTAAGTTGGCACTTGTTAGGCTCTTGTCAGCATTAATGACTGGCATGTTTTATTGCAGCCCAGTTCCAGCCAGAGTTTGCCAACTTGTTACAACAGAAGTCCAGCAATAGGTGGGTAGAGTGCAGGAAAAACAGTGCCATGTTTCTCAATTGGAGACCTACAACAAAAACAAACAGCATTATTTAATAAACTACAAATAAATAATTAAACAGAACTTATTACTTATATTCATAATTTCAATTGAAGTTTACTTATGTGCTTGTTTATCATATAGTGGCTGCTAACCACAAATAGTTATACACTTTTACATTTAAATTATGAAACTAAAAGAAATTAAGGGGCTAGGAAGGTAATACCCACCTCTAATCCCAGACCTCAAAGTTGAGACCCCCAAAATCATGAATTTGAGGACAGCTAGGGTTACACAGCAAGACCTTGTCTTTAAAAGCATAAATGTTTATGGGTTGGAGTAATAGCTCAGCAGTTATGAACATTTGTTACTCTTAAAGAGAATCTGAGTTAAGACTCCCAGCACTCACGTGGTAGCTCACAACCATTTGTTTCAGGGAATCTGATACTTTCTAACACACTTATAAACATTCAGGCAAAACACTCATATGTAGATAAAATAGCTGAAGAAATGTTTTAAAAATAAATCTTTAAAAGTCAATTTCGGATATTTGGCCATGCTGGCCTTATGTGGCTGGTGGCAGTCATACCGAGCAATGTAGATATTAATTAACCAGCTACATTTTACAGCAGCATTTTAGATTATTCAATATTCCAAATATTTCCAAATACATCACATCCAGAAACCACAAATGGATTATTTAAAAGTAATTTGGTGTTGGAGAGATGATTCAGCAGTAAACAGCACATTTTGCTCTTACAGAGGACATGAGTTAGGCTCCTAGCACCCAAGTTGTTATTTCAGGTCCAAGGGATATAAAATCTTGGGTCTTTGTGGTCACCTGCACTTATGCATGCATACACACACACACACACACACACACACACACACACAATTTAAAATTAGTAAAAGTGACTTGGAAATTTAGAAATATTGATGTGTAGAAAAACAATTTAAGGGGCTGGAGAGATGGCTCAGAGGTTGAAAGCACAGACTGCCTTTCTGAATGGAACCAGGTTCAATTCCCAGCACCCACATGGCATCTCACAGCTGTCTATAACTCCAGTTCCAAGAGACCTGACTGACATCATCACCCAGACATACATACAGGCAAAACACCAATGTACATAAACTAAAATAATTTTTTTCAAAAAAGAAGAAAAACAATTTAAGATTACTTTTCAACTTGCTTGATTTTAGCCAATTTTGTACATTCACTTCAAACCCATTTTTTTCACAGAACCTCCCACAAATGATAGCCTCCAATCCAACATAACACACACAGGGGCTAGAGAAATGACTAAGTAGTTAAAAGCACTGACTACTCTACCAGAAGACCTGGTTCAGTTCCCAGCACCCACATGGTAACTTAACAACTGTCTGTAACTCCAGTTCCAGTGACAACTGGTGTCCTCTTCTGGCCTCCACAGGCACTGCACAAATATGGTGCACAGACATATGTACAGGCAAAATACTCAAACACATGAAATAAAAACAAATGTAAAAAAAATTTAAAGAAACACATTTTTTAAAAAAAAAAAGCTACCATCTTATCAAATGCTTACGATGTGCCACGTAGTGTTTTGCAAACCTGGATAAATAAAATTATCACATGACATTTCCCCCCTTTGCAGAGAAAAGTGAGATTTGATCATACAGCTAACAATGATAGCTTCTAGTCAGAAAAACACAAGGATGAAGTTATTTTAATCCTATTTAAGAGTGGCCACTGCAGAGCCTTTATTCTATTAATGTGTGCTTTGAGTGTAGGACAGAACACAAAGATAGCTCCCATTACCACTATTTCAGACCATGTGTCTTAGCTGTTTTTCTATTGTTATGATAAGACACCATGACCAAGGTAACTTATAGATGAAAGAGTTTATTTGTGGCTTACAGTTTCAGAGGGTGAGTCCATGACCATCATTGCAGGGAGCATGGCAGCAGGCAGGCAGGCATGGCGCTGAGGCAGTAGCTGAGAGCTTACATCCTGATCCATAAGTAGGAGGTAGAGAGAGAGAGCTAACTGGGGATTCTTGGGCTTTTGAAACCTCAAAACCCTCCCCCGGTGACACATCTTCTCCAAGAGGGCCACAACTTCTAATCATTCCCAACCAAACAATTCTACCAACTGGGGAACAAGCATTCAATCCTCTTGAGTGGAAGGGGCCATTCTCATTTAAACCACCATAACAAATATTCCCAGAAACCCACATCTAATGCCAAGCACAATTTTGGGTAAAAGCAAGCAGAAGATCTCTAGGGAGTCAAGTAATAAAATTTAAATAGAAAAGCCAATTCACATAAGACATGAAATTTAATCAATCTTATTAGGCTAAGAATAAAATTTATCTTACAATCACCCCAAAATTCAACTACATCAAAAGCTCTACTGAGCCAGGCAGTGGTGGCTCAGCCCACACCTTAGAACACAGCACTTGGGAGGCAGAGGTAGGCGAATCTCTGTGTTCCAGGACAGCCAGGGCAACATAGAACATCCCTGCCAAAAAAGTCTGCAAAAGCACTATTGGAGGAAGAATGGTGTGAAACAAATCTGTAGTCTTACATGTGCCTGATTTACAATTTAAGAGTTCCTAGGACTGAGTCAACTACTGCTAAAATCCTTGGCAAAAGAGTTGTACTAATCATTTGTCTGCCTTACCTCTACAAAGAATGAGGTTTACCAGTCAGGATTATATTACCTTCCTCAGGGTGATAGTTGAGCATTTGTAACAGATACATGTGTGTAGAAATATGTCTCAGTAGAAAATATAAAGACATATACTAAAACTCGAAGGACAATGTTACACAACAGAAGTGTAGCTTTGAGGTAATGCCACTGAATGTTTCTCCAAAGTTAGCACTTAGCTAACAAATCTCCCAGGTCTAAAAGAGAAACAGATTCAGAGTGGGACATCCCATAATCATTTCCCTATGATATAAACAATGAGAAATTTCAGGACCATGAAACAGTTGACTGGAGATGTTTCTTTAAAAAAAAAAAAAGCTTAAAAAAATTAAAGAGACATGTAACCGCCAAGTCATTGAACACTGAAAGTCAGGCCTTTTAGTATCAAACACAGACAACTATCAAGAGCATTTCAATGAATCAGGATAACAGGATAACCTCATCAAACCCCTTTCAGTTAAATTAGGTTCAAAGAAAAGTTTCTCTCCAAAAATCTTTAATTTTCTTGCTAGAAAAGATAAATGTAGGAACTTACTCATATCAAACAATGATGTTGAACTAAAAGCCATGTAACCATGTCCTACTTATTAACTTCTAGCGGCATTAAGTAATTCATACTTTCAAAAATACTACAAATATATCAAATTCAATAGTTATTTGTCTCAAACAGCCACTTCCTTATTCTGTCTTCTTTTGTGTATATGACCATTAAGTCAACATTGGGCATCTTCCTCAGTCATTCCCATCTTCTTCCCCAATTTTTAAAAACACTAAGTATTGTGTTTATGTAGAGAAATGTATGCACGTGGAAGTCAGGAAAGTAGGAATTTGCAGAAGTAGGTTCTCTCCTTAAACCATGCTGGTTATGGGAATTGAACTCTGGTAGTCAGGCTAAGGAGCAAGTTCCTTATTCCCACATGGTGTCAGCTTCCCCAACTATTTTTTTTATTTCTGTATTTGTTGTATGTGTATGAGCCTCTATTGACTTTATGCCAGAAGAGGGTATTAATCAGATTATGTGATTGTTGGGAATTGAACTTGGGGCCTCTGGAATAAGTAGTCGGTGCTCTTAACCACTGAGCCATCTCGCCAGTCCCCCAATTCACACCTTACTTTTTGGTACAGGATCTCACTAAACCAGGAGCTCAATTTCACTAGATAGGCTGGTCAATGATCTCCAATATAAGCTGTTTATTTATCATCTCCTCTGCACTGGAAACACAGAGGGATCAATAAGTGCTGCCATGCTTGGGTGCTAAGGATCAGAACTCAAGTGTTCACACTTGCATATAGCAAGCACTCTATTAACTAAGCTATCTCCTAGTTTCTACTCTTGTTTCTTAATCTAAAAACCTGGAGATGTTTATCTTCAGAGGAACTGTTCCACTAAGTTCTAACATTCAAGTAAAAATCAATTGGAAAATAAACAGATACTGTCCCCTCCTCTTTGGAGGGAGTAGCCTGGAACTCCAAGACCAAGCTTGATATTTTTCTTTATTTATAGATTACCTTTCTGTATTTATACCAGATCTTTAAATTTAGGGAAGATAGTTTTAGTTATTAAAAAAATGAGTAAAAGTGTGTGGCGGTGGCACATGCCTTTAATCCGAGCACTTGGGAGGCAGAGGCAGGTGAATCTCTGTGAGTTTGAGGACAGCCTGGTCTTTAGAGCTAGTTCCAAGACAGGCTCCAAAACTACAAAGGAACCCTGTCTCAAAAAAAAAAAAAAAAAAAAAAAAAAACCGCCCCAAGAAAAAAAGGGAAGGGGGGGGGGGGGGGGGGGGGGGAGGGAGAGAGAGAGAGAGAGAGAGAGAGAGAGAGAGAGAGAGGAGTAAGTCCTATAGTATGTTTAGTAGTTTTCACTTTTCCCCTTTATTTTATTAGAATCTAGGTGATCAGGAGGCTCAATAGTTCAGGACTTTTTCTTTTTTTAATTATTTTATTTATTCTGTATGCCCTGGTATACAGGTTAAAGTCAAAGGACAACTTGTTGGAAGTCAGTTCTCTCCTTCTACCATGTGGGTCCTGGAAACTAAACTATTGTCAGGCTTTGGACAGTTAGTTTTAACCACTGGACCAACTCCACAGACCCATTCAGAACTCTTGATCTTAAGCAAATATAGAGTTGAATCTTTAAATGATCTAAATATGAAACTCACCAAATCCTTAGGATAACTACTTGGCAGTACATTCTCAAACAGGAAATAGACTATGACTACTTGGGAGGGACAGAGGCAGACACAGATATATATACACACATGTATTTGTAAGAAATTGCTCTCAAAATTCACAAACCAAATTTCCAACTAGGCAAGCTTTTCTTTTGGTTTTTGGAGACAGGGTTACTCTGTGTAACCCAGGCTATCTCAGAATTCATTTTGTAGACCAGGATGGCCTCAAAATCTGCTTGCATTGCCTGCCCCTACTTTTTTACCAAATGATTTCTTTGTACTTTCATGTCTATGTGTGTAATAAGCAGGTCACAATGTCAGATACTACAGAGTTGTAGTCACAGGCAGTTATGAGCTATCTGATGTAGGTATTGAGAACAGAACTCACATTCTCTTTTGAGCAGTGTGTGTTCTTGCTGTGCTTGAGTCTTACAACACTTTCTAATTGCAGATGGTGAGGCTTAAATCTGCTTATGTGGGGTTTACAAGTGCTCTCAAAGGTCAAAGTGAACCAGGTATAGGGGTACACACCTTTGATCCCACAACTTGAGGTGGAGGTTAGTTCCAGGCTAGCCTGTGCTATGTAGAAAGTCTCTGCCTTATTTATTTAAGGAACCCAAAGGAAGTGAGCCAGTTTTATTGGAGGGGCTCGCTGAATCAAAGGTAAGCATCACATTTTGATGGCCCTTCAGAAACCCCCAAAACTGCAATCCATCATGTTCAAATAACCACCAAGAAGTGGTATCATGAAGGCAGTCCCCAGGTAGGAATCCAGCTATGTTTCATCTGTAGGCAACATTTCCACCAGGTTGTTTCCTATGGACAGGAGACAGTAATATCTACCACACTTAGTTCTGAATCCACCCTTACCCTCTTCCTGCTCTCTCTGATGAAACACCTGACATATTATGAGTTGATTTCTGGTGACTACCATGTGATAAGAATCAAAGAAGGAGATTAGAGAAATAGCTCAGCAGTTAAGATTCTTAGTGGACTTCCAGAGAATTCCTGTTCAGTTGCCCACACAGTAACTCACAATTGTCCGTAAACTCTGATTCTAGGAGACCTGGAAACCCTGTTCTTGCCTCCTTGGGCACAAAGGGCAAAATATATGTAAATATTATTTTTTGATTAAAACTTTAATTTAAAAAAGAGCCAAAGAGGACTCCAGCCAACACTCAAAGACAAGTATATACTACACACAACTACCTAAATAAGTACTGATATAGATCATCCCAGTTTGTCTTAAGGTATCTTGACTGTACAGTCTAACCATCAACACCTGTACCTGTCCTTCAGCTATGTGAGGGACGTAAAGTCAGGAGTTAAATAAATAAATAAATAAATACCCTAAATGTAGAGGATTGAGTGGCCCTCAGAAGTATAAGATAACAAATATTCTTTGAGATCACTAAATCTAGAACAATTACAAAGCAATAAAGAATTGGTATAATACCCTTATCTATGATGCAAAACAACAGAAATCATCATTTCTAGTGGCATACAAAGTAACAGTGTTGATCTGTAGAAAACAGATTTGCTTCTCTTTCCTCCCAGCTTAGGATACCAATCTCAATCAAAAGATAAGACTTAGAAAAGACAGGGCAGAGAAACTAACAAAAAGTGAAATAAAGTCTAGGTCAAGTAACAGAAATGTTTCAGAAACATTATAAATTTCAAAGACTTGAGTAAATATTTTTAAACAGTTAAGTTTTATGCTCAGCAAAACAAACAAACAAAACACAGGACACCTTAGAAGTGTGTTAACTTCTAACTCTAAAATTTGGGGTAGGAGTGTGTGACTCAAGTGTTAGAATGACTGCCTAGAATGTGCAAGACCTGGGGTTCCATTACCAGAAGCACAAAAATATACATGAGCCAGCTGTGTGGGCACATAGCTTTAATCCCATCACTCAAGTAGCAGAGGCAGGAAGATCTGTGAGTCCAATGCTAGCCTGATCAACAGCGAGTCCAGACCAGCCAGGACTACAAGGCAAGAACCTATCTCAAAACACAAACAAAGCAAATAAATATACATATATACACAAACATATAAACATACAAATGAATATAGTATAGTATCTTAAAACTGGTGGTATGTACAGCAATATACATGAATTACGATTTGCTGAATGTTACAATGCCAGCAAGACAGTCCAACAACCCAGTTCAAGTCCAACAACTGCAGCTCAATTCCTGGGATACATGTGGTGTAAAGAACAAGAAGTTCCCACCAAATTGTCCTCTGATCTACACCTTTGTGCCATGGCATATACACCTGCCAATGCATTAGAATTTGTATACACAGGCATACAAAGACACAAATAAATACAGGAAAATGTTTTAACGCTTCATTTATTATCACTTTTAAGTTTTTCACACAGGAATTTAACTAGTCCATGCTGACCAGGAATCCAAACGCTCTAGTCTAGTATATCAAGGTCTGGGATTATACAGGCATGTATCACTGCACCTACCACACATTTCATAGTTTTAAACACCCCCAACATTTAATTCAAATAAAAAATGCGATCTATCTACATAATGTCCTTTTCTACGTCAAGATGGGGTCCTTCATCTTTGACTCCCTACTAGGTAGAAGATAATAGTGACTAGAGATTTAGAGAAAATGTACTCTATTGGCCTTATTAAGAAATAAAAGGCCAGCTGGGAAATGGTGGTGCACACCTTTAATCTCAGCACTCAGAAGGCAGAGGCAGGCAGATTTCTGTGAGTCTGAGGCTAGCTTGGTCTACAAGAGCTAGTTCCAGGATAGGCTCCAAAGCTACGGAGAAACCCTGTCTCCAAAAAAAGAAAGAAAAAAAAGGAAATAAAAAACCAACTTAAAAAAGCTGCCCAATGGTGTTAGCAATGTATTAAAAATAAGGTTTTTCTTTTAATAATTTTGAGATAGTATCTCATGTATTCCCTGCTGGTCTTGAATCTGCTACATAGCCAAAGGTGACCTTGAATTTCTGGTCCTCTTGCCTTCCACTGCTCCAATGTACAACATCTGGTTTTTTTGTTGGTGCTGGGGATCTGTTGATTGTTTTTGTTAACTTGTCATAAACTAGAGAAGCGGTTCTCTACCTGTGAGTTGGGAACCTTTCACAGGGATCAGCTACCATCAAAGACACAGATATTTACATTATAATTCATAACAGTAGCAAAATTATACTTATGAAGTAGTAATGAAGAAAAGTTTTATCGTTAGAGGTTACCAAAATATGAGAACTGTATTAAAGGGTTGCAGCATTAGCAAGGTTGAGAACTACTGGACTAGAGTCACCTAGGAAGATTAAATATCAGTTAAAGAATTGTCTTCACCAGACTGACCTTGAGAATGTCTGTGAGGCATTTCTTGATTAATGATTAATGAGGGAGGGCCCAGCCCAATGTGGATGACAAGTGGTCCTGGGTTGTTTAAGAAAGCAGGCTAAGCCAATTATGGTATAAGAAAGCTAGAACAGGCATTCCTAACTGTTTCCACTTTCAGTTCCTGCCTCCAGATTCCTGCCCCAGCTTCCTTCTATGATGGATTATAACCTGTAAACTGAAATAAACCCGTTCTAACTCTCCTGGTATTTCTGTTGTTGTCAACTAGAGTTATTTGGTAAGAGAAACCTCAATTGGGATAATGCCTCTATTAGACTGCATGTAGGCAAGTCTATAGGGCATTTTCTTGATTAATGATTGCTGTGGGGGATGAAGGTGGTACCACGCCTAGACATGTGGCCTCAAATTGTATAAATAAGAAAGGCTGAGCAAGTAATAAGGAGCTAGTCAGTGAGAAATTTCTCTATGACCTCTGTTTCAATTCCTGCTTCCAAGTCCCTACATTGAATTCCTGCCCTTATTTCCCTCAGTGATGTGTTGTGATCTAAGAGTTGTGAGAATGAATTAAGCCTTTTCCATCCAAAGTTGTTTTTGGTCATGGTGCTTTATCAAAGCAATAGAAAGTCTGACTAATCAAGACGTCTACTCAACAAGTTGGTATATTACCACAGAAACAAAAAATCTAATTAGAACAGGACTGAACCCACGATTTCATGAATACTAAACAATAAATAACAACTGGACTCATTCCAAGCTCTACAGTCTTTCTTTCACTACCACAGGAAAAAACAAAAAACAAAAATCAAAAGTTAGCTTTTACCATTTGTAATATTCAGTATAAGAGGATGCAAGATACTTCGGTGCCCAGAAGAGGATTAGAAGATAAGGACAGGGTAAAATGGAAGAAACCAAACTGACTTCTTCATTACTAGAAATTTTACTGGCAATAGGGGCTAAGTTTTAGCTCAGTAATGGAATACCTCCCCACAGGAAGTGCAAGGCACACTTTACTGCCAGCACAGTAAAAAGAAAAAAAAAATTTTTTTGATTCTTTAGTTACTACCTGTGAAAATAAAGAGACCATTACCATAAAACTATTTTAAGACAGAACAGCAAATTAAAAACACCTGAATGCCCCAAAAGAGAAGAAAACAAGTGATTTTCTATAGCTCTGAGAAGCAGTAAACCATAGTAAAATAGAACTAGAGGAATAAAATGAAGCCAATAAATACAAGTCAAATGGCTAAATCAAATGATTTGCAAAAGTTAGCATTAGCATTTGACCAAAATAGACAAAAGAGTTGTATGTTTTTTAAGTGAACTTACCCTGAAATAATTGAAGTTACTAGCTATTGAATAAACATCACTCAAAAGCAGTTTCTTGGCTTTTTCTTACACAGCGGGCAACTTTCCTTTTAAATTCTCCATTTCTGTCTTCCCTCCATTCTTTCTGCAGATACAACAAATAAAACAAAATTACTTTCTATAAACCCATTACAATAAAATATTTTAGTTTTACTTAGTTTAGTTTAGTTTTTGAGACAGGGAATCTCTGTGTAGCCTGGCCTTGAACTCACAGAAATCCACGCGCCTCTGCATAAGTGCTGAGGTTAAGTGTCTGCACCACCATCGCCCAGCTCCTATTTTAGTTATCCTTTTGTAGTTGTAGCTCTTTTAACGTTATGGTAGGGTTGTAGCTTAGCTTGCTTGCCTAATTTGTGCAAAGACCTAGGTTTAAATCAATCCAAAACACTCCAATGGTTTAAGTCAATCCAAAACACTCCAATTTTTTTCAAAACAAAGTATTTTCACCTAGAAACATAGCTCAGGCACTGAGCATTTGCCCCTAAGGGCATAGGTTCAAACCCTAATACTCCCCCACCCCCATCAAAAGAGCAAGATGTTTTGTAAGGGACTAGAATAGTAATTACAAATAGAAAACTCTTATGCTAACTACAATAACTAGAAAATTTCTCTTTTAAAATAGAAGGGGGGGGGCAGTTAAATGGCTCAATGATTAGAAGGCTTGATGACCTGAGTTAGGGAGAGATGCACATGCTAGAAAAAGAAGCTACTCCAAAAGGTATCCTCTGCTCTCCAAAATCCATCAAAAAATTGGTCTCATACACACACACTTTTAAGTGAAAGTCCTTGGAAAAGTCACAATTTTCAGTTTACAATTTACAAATAAAACATTAAAATTAACTGGAAAATCAGCTACTTCCACTATTGGAAACAATTAGGAACAGCCAACATGCAGGTTGTCTCCCATCTGAGACAACAGAGGTGCATCATATGGAGTTGCTGAGTTCCGGAGTGAAAGAGCAGGAGCAACAGTTGTCATATCACCCTCCAGCATGAGCACCAACACATTTCAATTACAATAAAAATCAATTTTTACCAAACAAATGGTATTTTGCTCACAAAAATAGCTGGTCTCTCTGTATTTCTCTTTCTTATAATAATATCCATTTAAAGAAAGCAGAAACAATAGCAATTTTTAATCTTTATTCTTTTTTTTTTTAAGATTTATTTATGTATACAGTGTCCTGCCTACATGCCAAAAGAGGGCACCAGATCTGATTACAGATGGTTGTGAACCTCCATGTGGTTGCTGGGAATTGAACTCAGGGCCTCTGGAAGAACAGACAGTGCTCTTAACTGCTGAGCCATCTCTCCAGCCCTTAATCTTTATTCTTTAGAAGAAAAAAGTCTTCAAACCAAGACAAACTACAGCAAGATACAACTATATGTAAATGATCATAATGAAATCCGTTACTTTGCATACTAATGAAAAAGAGTAGATTTTAGTTATTCTTACTACAAAAACTAATGAGGTAATACATGTCAACCAGTTCAAATTAGCTATCTCAAAATATCTATATATTTCAAAACAATTGTAAGTGATAAATTTTTACTTGTATAAAAATAAAGACACCGAAGCCAGGTGGTGGTGGTGCACGCCTTTAATCCCAGCACTCAGGAGGCAGAGGCAGGCGTATCTCTGTGTATTCGAGGCCAACCTGTTCCAGGACAGGCTCCAAAGCTACAGCTAAACCCTGTCTCGGAAAAATAAATAAATAAACAAACAGAAAGAGAAATAAGTATATAAGTACTAAATTTTAAGTTGAGTTTCATTGAGAGAGAAAATGAAAAGGTAAAGGATGGAAGCAGCAGTTGTCAAGCAACAAATACCTTACCGCAGCATCTACATTCGCAGGTGAATCTCCATTCGGGTCTGCCAGCATAGAAATGACACTAATCATGATGGTTTCCACAGTATGGATAGGCAACCAACGTTCCTCTGGCTTCTCATAACCATATTTATCCTCCCCCGGCTCATGAAGAATAGAAATGCAAACATCACCATTTTTATCAACTGTAAAATTATAGAATAAGAATTGTTTAAATTTGGTTATACAAATGTGATACTTATCCATAAGTACAAGTATAAAATATTATTCACATGTAAATTTCCCAAATGTAATCTACTAAGGTTTTGAGAATACTACAGATTTTACAAAATGCACAGAAGCCATCTCAAAACCCAAAGGAATATAAACTAAACTATATTACATTCTTTAAAATTACAGCTTATTCAGACCTCCACTGCTGTCCCTAATTTAAAAGACATGACTTTTCTACTTCTCCATCTCTCTATTCCCAGCATTTATAGCTGTCTTAATTTTTTTCCTTTCAAATTCTACTAAGATGGCCTTCAAGTTTCAATAAGTAAAAATTTTAAGCTGGGCTGTGGTTGCGCACGCCTTTAATCCCAGCAGAGGAGGAGGCAGAGGCAGGTGGATCTTTATGAGTTCAAGGCCAGCCTGGTCTATAAGAGCTAGTTCCAGGACAAGCTCCAAAGCTACAGAGAAACCCTGTCTGGACACCCCCCCCCCTCGCCAAAGTGAAAATTTTAAATGGGGAGAGGGTACTGACTAGAGAGATGTCTCAGTGGTTAAGAGAACTCCTTTAATCCCAGTACTGGGGAAACAGAGAGAAGTGGATCCCTGGGAGTTGGAGCTCAGCCTGATCTACAAAGTGACTGACAGGACAGTGGAGCTAAAAGCAAAATAAACCAAACAAGCCCTGTTTCAGAGCCACAACCAATAACCTAGAATCTTAAACCACTTTAGATTTAAATCTTTAGAATTTTAAAGACTTTTATTTTCTTGTATCACTTCAAAAACAAGACATCTTTAAGATTTTTATCTATTATGAAACATCTCTTGACATGATTTATTTTTGTTTTGTTTTTGGTTTTCAAGACAGGGTTTCTCTGTGAAATAGTCCTGGCTGTCCCAGAACTCGCTTTGTAGACCAGGCTGGTCTCAAACTCACTAAGATAAGATACACTTGCCTTTGCCTCCTGAGTGCTGGGATAACATGTAGCACCACCACCTGGCATGAATTCTATTATTATTATTACTATAGCACAGGCATAGGATGAAATTATAATTTCTACCATTTTTGTTAATAATTAAAAATAAGAAGCAGGTGGATCTTTGTGAGTTCAAGACCAGCCTGGTCTACAGACTGAGTTCTAGGTCAGCCAAAAATACACAGAGAAACACTGTCTTGAAGGGTGGCAGGGATCGCAATGACATGCAACTATAATCAATATTCCTCTTCCTCAATTCAAATTGTGTATACAAACAATGTTCTCAGTTTCCCCAACTCTTCAGACTCCAGAAACATCCCAGTTTTCACTATTTTAATTACTGAAGTAGCTCACAGAAGTAGAACCACACATTTTTGTTCTTTTAGTTTGTCATATTTCAATTAGCAAAATGCTTTCAAGGTTTACCCTTTAAACGTTGGTGGAATACATTTCCGTTAGAGATCATGTTTCCATGACCAAAATTAGAATCATGTCAAATCTCAACCCCCAACCCCCTACAATTCCCAGCAGGGTTTCTCTATGTAATAATCATGGCTGTCTTGGAACTCACTCTGTAGACCAGGCTGGCCTCAAACTCAGAGAATTGGCTGCCTCTGCTTCCCAAGTGCTGGGATTCAAAGAGTGCACCATCACCACCAGGTCCAAATCACACTTTTATTTTTGGTTGTGAGCCTAACTTTTAATAGCTGAGCTATCTCTCTGGGCGACAACTATGTTCCCTATGAGATATCTATCGTAACTCTTTTTTTTTTTTATGGTTTATTTAACTTTATTTTATGTGCACTGGTGTAAAGGTGTCAGATCCTCTGGAACTGGATATTCAGACAGTTGTGAGCTGCCATGTGGGTGCTGGGAATTGAACCTGGGTCCTCAGGAAGAGCAGTCAGTGCTCTTAACCGCTGAGCCATCTCTCCAGCCCTCTTTTATAACTCTTACGCTAGCTATACACTTAATATTTACTCATATTTTGCCAAATGCTTGATTTCTCCTTTTTTCTTTTATTGTTCTGTTGCTGCTTTTTTCCCCTTTCGTCTCCATGTTCTTTAGAACTGGCTTTATTACTCTATTCTTTTATTCCTAAATCCACCTGAAAATCCTTTATGAGCTGGGCATTGAGGTACACACCCTTAATCTCAGCACTTAGGAAACAAAGGCAGGACGATTTCTGAGTTTAAAGTCTGTCTAATCTACGTAGTAATTCAGGCCAGTCAAAGTTGCACAGTGAATAACCAATCTTAAAACCCACCACATTATTCAACAATTTGAAGGATACAGTCTAATTGTTTCTAGATAATACACTTACTGAGTCTTACACCAAATCACACTCAACTTTAGGAACTTTCATTAACTTCCAAACAAAACCTTGTACAACTGATATTGACCCTTTTCCTTCCCTCCTAACTCTCCAGCAGTCCTAAGCAACTGTGAATATACTCTGAGTCAGAGCTGCACATTCTAGAAATTTCATATAAATGGAATTATTGAATGATCATTCCATGTCATTTATTTGAAAAATTATTTTCCATATATGAATATGCCTCTGTGTGTGACTGATAATGTGAGGACAGATGACCACATATACCAAAGGCTTTGGATCCTTTACAGGTGGTTTTTCTGAAACAGACAATGAGTTCTTCAAATCCATCTTTGGTGATGGAAGAACATTACACACTTACCTGCTAAGCAAGCTTTCCAGCCACCATAACACTTCGTATTTTCAGTTACCAAATCATATTGCATTATATGTAACATTTTGCTTTTACTTTCAGAGGCAGGCATTAGTATTATTGCTACTTTTTGGATAACATGAATAATACTGCTATTTAATAAGATTATGGCATATACCATTACAATTTTCTTTGCTGTGTAGCTAGAAGATTACAGGTTTGTATGACCACACCCATTCTATGAATGATTGGGGATAACATCCAAGACCTAGGTAAGTACTCCACCAACTGAACTATATTCCCAACCCAGAGACCATTTCCTGAAAAGGTATTTTTTCTAAAAGTGGAACAGTGGTTCTTGCCTGTAATCTGAGCACTTGGCAGCCTAAAGCAGGAAGATTACCAAAAGTTCAAGGACAACATGAGGTACACAGTGAGGTCCAAGTCAACCTGGAACTGAAACTTATCATACCTCATTTCTAAAAAAAAAGCAGAAAACTAAGTTAAAAAAATAAATTCTTTGTATTTCTTCTCTTTAGAGTCTAATACAAGATCAAACGCACAAAAACATGAAATCTCAAAGTGATCTCACTGAGATTTTTGTGAAATCTTTAATTATAAATCATCTTATTTGAAATTATGAAAGTAAAACTAGAAAACTTACCATTTGGGTGCCAAATCTCTGTAATGAATTTCATTTTAGGAGGTCGGAGGGGATAATCTTTTGGGAAAGTGAGATGAGCTTTAAAAACACCACCTTCACTGGAAAAAAATAAAAGAAAACCAAGTTCATGAATTTAAGTATTCTTTACAAGTATATAGTCAATCAGACAAATAAAAGGGTACAAAAAAAACAGAAAGGAAGACAAAAATAATTATGATTCCTTGCAAATACAGTTTAATAAACTACCATAAATACTGCTTTGTTAAACTCTCCAGGTTAGTAGAAATAAAAGGAATCATGTGTTCAGATCAGATCGCACTGGTATTATGCTTTTCAGTGTATGTCTTCAGTGAACTTTGAGTTTAACCTTGTCTACATGATTCAAGTTGTTGAATTTTCTATATTGGTTTCAAATGATCATTTTTCTTTATTCCAGTCACACCCATCAACCTCTTTCTCATCTCAAAGTTTAGGCACATTTTTGTGGTTCTCTATCTGGAAGCAGACTCCCACTTCTACTTATCTACTTATTTATTCATTTCATTATGTAATAAAATTTCATTTAGGGGCTGGGGAGATGGCTCAGAGGTTAAGATTACTGACTGTATTACAAAGGTCCTGAGTTCAATTCCCAGCAACCACATGGTGGCTCACAACCACCTGTAATGAGATCTGGTGCCCTCTTCTGGCCTGCAGGTGTCCATGCAGGCAGAACACTGTACACATAATAAAATGATAAAAAAAAATTTTAAATTCATTTGGTATTTATATGCCCATTAGGAGGGCAATAGTAAACAAAAGGGTTTCCCAAGCAGGTTTTATGCCATTGACTTTAAAGTGTGGTGATCTCTACAGTATCAATAATGTACTGTCCAATATGCTACCTATCAACAAAAAAAAATGTGGAGTAGTCCTAGTTAATTTTTATTATCCACTTGATCCTAAAACCACCTAGGAGAAGAAAATTTCAATTAACAGAAAGTCCAGCAGTAGGGTGTGGTGGCACATGCCTTTAATCCGAGCACTCAGAGGAGTCAGGCAGATCTCTGTGAGTTCAAGGCCAGCCTGGTCAACAGATTCAGTTCCAGGACAGGCTCCAAAGCTATAGAGAAATCCAGTCTCAAAAAAACAAAAGCAAAAAAAAAAAAAAAATCTGAGTCAGACTAGCCTGTGATAATGTCTGTGAGAGATTGCCATGAGTGATAATTGACATGGGAGGACCCAGTGCACTGTGGTTGACAATCCCTAAGCAGATGATTCCTAAGAACACTAGCTGGGGACTATGGAGATGTCTCAGTGGTTAAAAGCACTTGTTCTTGCAGAGGATGCAGATGTGATTTCCAGCACTCAAATGGCAGCTCACAACCATTCATGTACATGTCCAACTTAATTAAAGAGATCAAGGCTACCTTACGAAGCAAAAATGATTCAATGGTAATATGTATGTGTAATTCTAGCACTTGAGATCAAATCTCAATGTCCTCCTGAGCTACAAAGCAAGACCTGAAAAGGTATATATTGGACAGGTAAGATGGCTTAACAAATAATGGCACTTGAGAAACAAGCCTGACACCTGAGTTCCATCCCCCAAACCTACTTAAAAAGTTGGATGGAAAGGACCAAATTCATAGAGTTGTCTTCTGACCCCCCCTATCTATACTGCAGACCACATACCCACATACACATTATGCAGACTCACACTAATAAGTAATTTTTTTAAAAGATGGGAACGGGTATTTGTATACTGACACAAAAATAAGAGACACAACATTACATATAACGGTGATAAATTGTAGGATGTAAGACATGGGATCCTTTGTGTTTTGTACATTTCAGTACAAGTTGAAATTTTAATCATAAATAATTTTCATTGCTTTTTTTCTGAACAAAATACAAATGTCGGATAAACAGAAGTAAGCCAGCAAGGTTGCTGTATAGGTAAAGATACTAGTCATATAAGCATAGAAACAAGAGTTACATCTCCAAAACCCATGGTAAAGGTGGAAGGAGAGAACTGACTTAACAAAGTTGTCCTCTGACCACCATACTTGAAGTAAAAGAACATCAAAATATCCTTGAAAAAAAAAATTCCCTGCACCTCATCTCTCCCAGGTCACTTTGTTTTGGTTGATGTGATTCATTCAAAAGCTTCAGGGGCTGAAGAGATGGTTCAGTGGTTAAAGAGCAGTGACTACTCTTCCAGAGGATCCGGGTTCAATTTCCAGCACTCACAAGGCAGCTCACACTGTCTCTAATTCTAGTTCCAGGTGATCTAAAACCCTCTAACAGATACACATGCAGGCAAAATGCCAATGCACATAAAATTTTTAAAAATGAAAGATAAAATATTTTAAAAATCTTTTTAATAGCTGACTAGGATTCTCATCATAAAGTTGCCACCACCTGTCTAAATTATTTAAAAGTAACTGACAAGTTGTCCTAAAATTTTAAGGTGTATGTTTTTGTTTGAATAAAAAATACCTGAAACAACCGTGCTAGTTCTTAAATGTTTTAATGGAATTATTGACTTATCCTCTACTTCACCTCAGCAGCTTTATATGCTTCTCTCTTACTTCACCCCATTCCCCCCAAAACCACCTTAATTAGTGGGGTCAATCAAACAAACTTCAGCAGTCAAGTTAGCACAAAGGAACTAAAATCCTCATAGTGTAAAATAACAAAGTAGGTGAAATGTATTTACTATTGTTCAAACACAAAAAGGTATAACTATGGTGAACAAAAGGAAATACACTACAATATAAATGAATTTAAAGTCTCTCAATATAGAAAGTGTTAGTAACATTAGCAAGATGTTAAAGAGGTACATAACTGCTGAACATCCGAAAAACCAAGGTCATGTTTCTGCCACAAAACCTTTTATTGTTTTTGTACATTAAATCACAAAAAACATGCCTATAATCTAGCAATGGAACAGGTAAAGCAGCAGGCCTATTAAATTTAAGTTACCCAGGCTACATATTAAGACCCCTTTTCAATTAAAAAAGAAAAGTCTGTTCTTGGGGCTCTGAGTCAGTGGTCCAACACTTGCCTAGAGTACTTGGACCTGCTTCATTTCCAAATGTTACATGAAGAAGAAAACTTTTGAAACTTTTTTTTAGGGGGGGAGCATTAAAACAAGGCTTCTTTCTCTATATAGTTCTGACTGTCCTGAAATTTGCTCTACAGATCAGACTACCTTCAAACTCAAGAGTTTACCTGAGTCTGCCTCCCAAGTGCTGGGATTAAAGGCATGTGCTACCATGCCTGACAAAGAAAATCTAAACAGCAATAGAAAAATTCAATATTGGATATAAAAGTAATAAATCTATGCTAGGTGCAGACGGGTAAAAAGGACTAAATACTCAGTAACTATCAGTCTTAAATTAATACCTGAATGAACTAGTCACAGATTACACAGACTGTAAACAGTATGGAATGCCCTCTAGTAACTAAGTTAAGGTTAGTGATAACGTCACAAAATAGCACATATTTTTTTAGAACTTTACAACAGTACTTTTCCTGAGCTAATGCCTCAGGCCATTGCATGGCAGTGAACTGATAGTTGCATTACTCAAACCCATGGTAATTTGTTTTCAATCACTCTCAAGCCCACACTACTGAAACAACTATAAGATCACTTCCTTGCACTTAAGTCAATAAACACTTTTCAAGAATTTAATAAAATATTGTATAAAGCACTTAATTAGAATTAGCAGCCTTGTAAACATCATTTTAAGTATGTCTGTTTTTCCTTGTCTTCTTTATCTTTCTTTCCTTTTAAGAAAGTGGTTCTCGGCCGGGCGGTGGTGGCGCATGCCTTTAATCCCAGCACTTGGGAGGCAGAAGCAGGTGGATCACTGTGAATTTGAGGACAGCCTGGTCTACAATAGCTAGATCCAGGTCAGGCTCCAAAGCTACAGAGAAACTCTGTCTCGAAAAATAAAGCCAAACAAACAAAAAAAAAAAAAAAGAAAGAAAGAAAAATGGTTCTCAACCTAATGCTGTGACCTGTTAATATAGTTCCTCACATTGTGGTGACCCCCAACCATTACATTATTTTCGTTGCTACTTCATAACTGTAATTTTGCTACTGTTATGGACCACAACGGAAATATGATATGTAGAATTGCTAGTATGTGACCCCTACAAAAGAGTCCTTCAACCCACAGGGCTGCAAACTTAACACATTGGGGTTTCCCCAATATTTTTAGCTTCTTGGCTCTTTCTATCTGGTTGGTTGTCTGTCATGTGGCTGACCTCTATGCCAGCTTAAATGGCATGGCTCTTTGGTCTTCTTAAGACATAGATATACAGAATATGTCCTATGTAAAATCTCGGGTCTTAAGAGATGGCTCAGCAGTTAAGAGCTTTTCTTCCAGAGGTCCTAGGTTCAATTGACAACAATCACACAGTGGGTGGGTCACAGCCATCCTTAACTCTAGAGGGTTCATGCCATCTTTTGGCTTCCTCAGGCACCAGGCACATACATGGTACACAGATATACATGCAAAACACCGCACACATAGAAACAATTAACTGATTCATTTTAATTAAATTTAAAAAATAACTCTGTTTTTAAAAAAAAATCCAGATACCTGCAGTCTTGTTCTTTAATAAATGATAAGGCATTAAGAACAGTAAAACTAGCCAGGTAGTGGTGGCACACACCTTTAATTTTAACAAACAAATCTCTGGGTTCGAAGCCAGCCTGGTCTACAAGCAAGTTCTACAAGAGCCAGAACTGTTACACAGAGAAACCATGCCTCAAAAATCCAAAAGAGCCGGGCGATGGTGGCGCACACCTGGCAGGCGGATCTCTGTGAGTTCGAGACCAGCCTGGTCTACAGAGCTAGTTCCAGGACAGGCTCCAAAGCCACATAGAAACCCTGTCTTGAAAAACCAAAAAATAAATAGATAGATAGATAGATAGATAGATAGATAGATAGATAGATAGATAGATAGATAGATAGATAGATCCAAAAGAAAAGGTTTTAGTTATTAGGAGCTTCAAGCATAACACAAAGGCTCTAAATGTGACCAAACTGAACACAAATGACATTAGATACAATCACTTTGCTTACTCCTTTAAAAAACATTCAATTTTCAGCTGGGCGGTGGTAGTACACGCCTTCTATTCCAACACTCAGAAGGCAGAGGCAGGAGGATCTCTGAGTTAAAGGCCAGCCTGGTTAGTTTCAGGGCAGGCTCCAAAAGCTACACAGAGAAACCCTACCGTGAAAAACAAAAACAAACCAACAAAAAAAAATTTCAATTTTCAAAATTAAGTTTTAATTCTAGTTAAAGGAGTAACTATTTGAAGATGTCAATTCTAGTATACTTACTAAAGTGTATCTGGAGGACCAATAATAAGAACTTCCCACCGATAGAGATCATTGTCGTCTATTAAACCTGCTGAAAAGCCTTCCACTGGGTTTTTGTTGAGTTCTGTGGAAAAAGAAAATTTCAATCAAAACTTTAAAGCAGTTTTTCTCCAACAATTACAGAACTTGAGCATATAGAAGTCATAAACCATAAAAACTATAAAAATGCTGTCTCATGACCACATTTCCATACTACAAGACACAGGTACAGCGAACTATCCAGATGGAATTGTATTGTCTTCCTACATCTACCCTAGGATCCAAGCAGGTCTTAGCATTCTAGGTAAGTTTTGTCTTGATTTCTCTCTCTCTCTCTCTCTCTCTCTCTCTCTCTCTCTCTCTGTGTGTGTGTGTGTGTGTGTGTTCTGTTCTTTTGGGGGGGGTGTTTTTGCTTTTTTGATACAGAGTTTCTCTGTAGCTTTGGAGCCTGTCCAGGAACTCACTCTGTAGCCCAGGCTAGACTTGAACTCACAGAGATCCACCTGCCTCTGCCTTCCGAATGCTGGAATTGAAGGCATGAGCTACCATCGCCCAGTTCTACATAGGTTTTAAGAGAGCCTGTGAAGATGAAAATAACTAAGGCCAATTCTCCAGGAATTTTAATTCAAAGAAAACAAAGTCAAATCAAATCAAGAATATTAAGTTTTTACTATAGCCTTTATAATTCCTTTATAAAGAACCAAAAGCACCTTTGCATTGGAATTGCTACATTTTATCAACTCTTACTTACACTAATAACTACCTATTTGCCATGATGCCTCTAGATACACATAGGATGGAGTTCCTGTGTGGACCACAAGCCTCTGAGCACAAAGAGAACAGAAGCTCTGTCTCTTCTGCTTGTGTGTACTGACCCCTCTGTCTGCCACAGCTTTCAACAGGAATAGCTGGTGCCTACAGAAATAGCAATGGCATCGTGAGATTTTTCTAAATAATGCTTTGGCATGGAGAGTGGATGATGACAAAAAACAAGAACAGAGACAAAAACTAGCAGGATAGAGAAAGAAAGGCTAATAACAAAGGGTCATCAAAGAGCTGGTAAGCAAGTGTTGTTAGTTCAAAACCTGTAACTTCATATACTGATATCAGGTCCATATTCATTTGTCAACCTACTTCAACTTGGAATCACTTAGGAGACACACCTCTGGTGTGTGTCTGAGAGTGTTCCCAAAACAGTTTAACATGGAATGTGGTTGGGGCCACTCCAGGAATTGTGGTTCCAAGGCTGCATAAAAATGAAAAATGGAGACAGCAAGCAGAGTAATAGGATTCATACTCCCTCCCACTCATCACTGTACCACAGTCAAACGCCAGCAATTACACTTTTCCCGGCATGAACACACTTGATAAACCATAAACTGAAATAAACACAGCTTCCTTAAGTTGTTTTATCAATTATTTTGTCACAGCAACAAGAAAGTAATGTACAAGCTAACATGCAAACAAAAAACAGCTAAAGTCAAGAATTACACTGTAGCTGGGCAGTAGTGGCACACATCCTTAATACCTGCACTTAGGAAGCACAGGCAGGCAGATCTCTGTGAGTTCGAGGCCAGCCTGGTCTACAGAGTGAGTTTCAGGTCAGACAAGGCAGCTACACAGAGAAAACCTGTCTCAAAGAGTTTACTAATCAAATAAACAAAGCAAACAGATAAAACAAATACTGTATTTTAAAACACGAGGCTTGTGTTCTTACTTTTGAATAGGTTTTTTGGTTTGGTTTGGTTTTGGTTTTTTAAGACAGGGTTTCTCCATGAAACAATCCTGGCTTGTCCTGGACTTCACTCTGTAGACCAGGTTGGCCTCGAACTCACAGAGATCTGCCCGACTCTGCCTCCAGAGTGCTGAGATTAAAGGTATGAGCCACGACCGCCCAGGCACTTTTAAATAGATTTTTAAAGATACCATTAAGATATTAACTATTTCAATTTTATTATGTTTATGCACACATACCTTTCACTAATTCCAAACTATGTTGCAGGCTACTAGAAAGAATACACATAAGCACTTTACTGTTGACAGGAATTTGGTGCAGTAAAGACAAAGGATTATAGGTAATAGTTTTATACATGACTTATCTAATTTCCGACCTTTTCAGCTATTCTGTCTCATTAGTGGTCCATTTAGGATCCACTTGTGTCCTCCAATGCTGGGACTACACATGTGTATTACTGCACCAAGCTTTTTTAAGGGTATGGGGCTCCAAACTCAAACTTCTATCTTGAGCACTTCACTGTACAATCCTAATTATCTCATTGTTGCATTTCTCAGTAGAAGTCTAGTGAAATTTTATAATGTAAGCACGTAAATTCAGAAATTAGCATATATGTATAAAGTATCCTTGAAAATTTAGCACTGTTTCTCACTCTTGTCAATGTATCCTAGTCTCAAACATTTGTACACACTTTCTGTGCTTTTTTTGTTAACCAGCATGTTACTGTGTCCATTGCTTATTTTGTATAAATAATGTAAAAGCAAGGCAAAAAAATGTCCAGTATCTAGCTCACTTTTAACAGTGTTTGCCCCTGGTATGGCTTACCAAAATAATTTCCCACACTAACACAGGAAGTGGTGTTTCTCTAACTACCAAAGCATTCCTTTCCTCAATCTTTATTAATTAAATCAATACTAGAAAAATATCAGTGGTGGTATGAATGAGAATGGCCTTCAGAGGCTCAGCTTAAATATTTGGTTCCCAGATCATGGAACTATTTGGAAAGTATTAGGGGTGTGGCCTTATTCTAAAAGGCTTGTCACTAGGGGTGGGTTTTGAGGTTAGTTATGTATTTCCTGTCTCCTCCTTGCTATTCAAGATTTAAATTCTCAGGTGTTCCTGCTATCATGCCTTCACACCATTAAGAATTCTAACCCTCTGGAACTGTAAGCCCAATTAAACACTTCCTTTTATAAACTGCCTTGGTCATGGTGTTTTATCACAGCAATAGACAAGTAACTAATAGACAATGCTACTGCAAAGATTTTATTACATTCCTACTACAGATTTAAAAAGCATAATCATCCTTATTGATTTTTTTTATAAGGAAACAAACTATCTTTTTTCATTTTACAAACCAATCTCAGTTCCCTCTCCCTCCCCTCCTTCCATTCCCTTTACCCACCCCACCAAACCACCTCCCATCCATTCTTCAGAGAGGATAAGGCACATTGCTTTTGAGGAAGGTCCACGACCCTCCCTACTATATCAAAGATGAGCAAGGTATCCATCCAAAGAGAATAGGTTCCCTAAAAGCCAGTACAAGCAGTAGGCATAAATCCTGGTGCCATTGACATAGGTCCCACAGTCTGCCCCAGCCATACAGTTGTCACCCACATTCAGAGGGACTATTTTGGTCCTATGCTGGTTCCTTCCTTGTCCAGCTGGAGTTGGTGAGCTCCCATTAGGTAAACTATTTCAGTGGGGTGTCCCCATCGTGGTCTTGACCTCTTTGATCCTATTCTCACTCCTCCCACTCTTCACCTGGACTTTGGGAGTTCAGCCCAGTGCTCCACTGCGGGTCTCTGCCTCTGTTTCCATCAGTTGCTGGATGAAGGTTCTCTGACAACATTTAAGATATTTAAGTCTGACTACAGGGCAAGGCCAGTTCAGGCACCCTCTCCTCTAATGCTTAGGGTCTTAGCTGGGGTCATCCTTGTGGATTCCTGGCAATTTCTCTAGTGCCAGGTTTCTTGCTAGTCCCATGGCTCCCTTAACCAAAATATCTCATTCCTTGCTCTCACCTCTGTCCTTCCTCCATCTTGACTATCCCATTTCCTCAAGTCCTTCTCCTTCCCCTCCTCCCCCTCCTCCTCTCCTTCCACCCTCCCTTCTTTCCCCACCCCCATGCTCCCAAATCTGTTAGGCAATCATGTCTATTTCCCCCTTTCTAGTTGTATCTATGTATGTTTTTCTTAAGAATTCACCTTGTTACTTAGCTTCTCTAGGATCATGAACTATAGGTTCAATATCTGTTGCACATTTTTGCTTTACACTGCAGAGTGAGTACACACAACATCTTTCAATTTCGGTCTCTTGTTTATCTTTCTGGGTCTGAGTTACCTCACTCAAGGGGGTTTTCTCTAGTTCCAGCCATTTACATGCAAATTTCAAGGTGACATTGGCTTTTTTTTTTGTTTGTTTTGTTTTGTTTTGACCCCTGAGCAGCACCACTTCGTGTAAAAGTACAAAGGACATTAAAACTACTTACCATTAGAATATTTTTCTTTCACGCTAATAGTAGGCTACAGCAAGCTGACTTCCTAACCAAAAGATATTTGGAACACGGAGAAGACAAGCAAAACCAGTCTGTAAAGGCTTTCCAATATTCTGCCAAAAGGATTCGCTTGACAAAATTTATGGCCTCATTACCTACTTGCTTATACAACCTGACTATGGTGTACCAGACCAGGACATACCATCTCTCGGTATTGTTATGGTTTTGGTCCCTTTAAGAGACAAGCCATGCCCACTCCCCCCCCCCTCTGCTGAGGCAGGCTGATCTTCATCTTCTGGCCTGAGCTGGCTCTCTTTTCCATCTTCCTCTCGGAGAGGCAGCTTCGCTTCTGCCTCTCTCCCCACTTCTCTGCTTCCCCCCTTCTCTGTCTCTTTCTCCTCCTCTCTCTCTCTCCCTCCCTTTCTGTCCCCCCCTTCACCCTTCCTCCTCCATAACCCCCTGAATAAACATTCAACCTCACCCTGCATGTCGTGTCTATCCATGTTTCTGTCTTCTGCCCGCCCGTCACGCGTCTCCCTGCCTGGGACCAGCCATTGCTCAGGGACCAGCAGCCGTCTCTGTCTGGGACTGGCTGCTCCCAGGGCCCGCTGTCTGCCACCACATGGCCCGCCACCACCGGTCAGGCCACCGCTCTGGGACCGGCAGCCATTTCTGCCTGGGACTGGCTGCTCCCAGAGCCCGCTGCCTGCCAACACATGGCCAGCCACCACCATTTGGGACCTACAACATTTCTGCTGCCTACTGCCACCGGGGATCTTGCAGCATTTAAAAATAAAAAAAAAAAAAAAAACACAGGTATATAAAGCTGTTCTGCAGGATCTCTATGACACAG